GAGAGATAGAGAGAGATAGAGAGAGAGATAGAGAGAGAGATAGAGAGGAGATAGAGAGAGAGATAGAGAGAGAGAGAGATAGAGAGAGAGATAGAGAGAGAGATAGAGAGAGATAGAGAGAGAATAGAGAGAGATAGAGAGAGATAGAGAGAGATAGAGAGAGATAGAGAGAGATAGAGAATGACACAGATAGATAGAGATAGATAGAGATAGATGGAGATAGATAGAGATAGATAGAGATAGATAGAGATAGATAGAGAATGATAGAGAATGATAGAGAATGATAGAGATAGATAGAGATAGATAGAGATAGATAGAGATAGATAGAGATAGATAGAGATAGATAGAGATAGATAGAGATAGATAGAGATAGATAGAGATAGATAGAGATAGATAGAGATAGATAGATAGAGATAGATAGAGATAGATAGAGATAGATAGAGAATGATAGAGAATGATACAGATAGATAGAGATAGATAGAGATAGATTGAGATAGATAGAGATAGATGGAGATAGATGGAGATAGATAGAGATAGATAGAGATAGAGATAGATAGAGATAGAGATAGATAGAGATAGATAGAGATAGATAGAGATAGATAGAGATAGATGGAGATACATAGAGATAGATAGAGATAGATAGAGATAGATAGAGATAGAGATAGATAGAGATAGAGATAGATAGAGATAGATAGAGATAGATAGAGATAGATAGAGATAGATAGAGATAGATAGAGATAGATAGAGATAGATAGAGATAGATAGAGAATGATAGAGAATGATAGATAGAGATAGATAGAGATAGATAGAGATAGATAGAGAATGATAGAGAATGATAGAGAATGATAGATAGAGATAGATAGAGATAGATAGAGATAGATAGAGATAGATAGAGATAGATAGAGATAGATAGAGATAGATAGAGATAGAGATAGATAGATATCATACGTCATATATACTGTCTGTGTGTGTGTGTTAAAAAAAAAAAAAAACATGTTCCAAGAAGACAGTTGGAGCCAACTTGGAGCCTCCAAGGGACGAGTACCCTCTTGGTGCCATTCGACCACGGCAAAAGGATCCATCTTGCCATATGCATCGAAACTCCTTGAATCCGCAGCCGATTTGCAAATCGGCATGGGTTCGTCTGAAAGGGTTCCACATCTCATGGTCTATTCATGTGTTTTTCCCCATCGAAATGACAGAAAATCAGGAATCTCCCATGTTGGGACAAGGATGGACAAGGTGTTTAACTGCAACCAAAAATAAACTGCCCTTTCGTGGAGCACCAAGAACGAACGTTTGACCACACATGCGGCAGTCGATCTAGGCGTCCTTGACTCTCATGATGTAGATGAAAAGAATGGGACTGGTTCGATTCAGAAGAATCCCATTTGTCTCAGACAAAAAACGATTGAAATTTGCCCTTTGAAATTGTGCAGATTTGATGAAAAGTGGGATCATTTGGGGACAGGAAGTGAAGGGTTTCACAGTCAAGGTATTGTTATTTGTGCAAGATATGGGATGGATGTGTTTTTTCCACTTCAATTTTTGCCCTTGATTCCAATTTACTAGGACACCGAAGAGTTTATATAAGTGGTTGCATCCCACATTTCCGATGGCTGTTTCAAACCGTGTGGGTACCAGAATGAATGCCCAAAAAACATAAAAAAATATGTCAAAAATCATTTTGCAACCCGTTTTCACACCAAAAGAATGTCCCCTTGCATTTGCAACACAGTTCAGAGACAAGCATCCGTAACAAGTCGGCACGCAACACGCGGATCACAACGAAGGATTCCAGTTTTGGTCCCTCTGACTCAGACGCAGGTCTAGCCTTCGGGGTGCTGGATGGACAGCAACAGGAAATGTTTCGGGTGCCATCATGGCAACCAGTTTTTTGTCATTTTCATCCACATGTTTGCCAATTTTTCTTTGTAAAATATGCTATGATTAGTGTTGAATTCTATGGTTCATTGTTAATGAGTTTCAAATCAAAACCATGAATGCGAACAGCACATCATATCCTTTTAACAGTTGTTGAACAAAAAAAATATTGCGTTTCTGATTTTCATCAACCAACATGACGCCGTTTGGCACATCGGGCAATGAACTTGTCTAAATACTGTACATTGAATTGTTCGGTAATGTCGCAATCTATTTTTTTTGTTTATGTATCATTTCACTCCCGTTCTCTAAACAGTTTGTTAATTACGCTATGTTGATCAATCTGGCAAGGGTGTCCCAAAGAACACAAACATTTCCACTGTCACAGCTGTTGTTGACAAACGCCTTCCCTGATTCGGAGCGTCCCAACAATTTCGGATGATAGCCCACATGGTGCGAATGGCCGCAACCCATGGCCCATTATTATGAAACCGCCCCAATGGCACACAGCGCACATGTCTGAGCCCATGAATGGCAAGCCCAAACATGGTCAAATGCTCTGCGTCAACATTCCAAAATCAAAATGTCCACTGTAAAATCCGTGGTAAGATCGCGGATTTTAAATTTCCAGAAAATGTTCATTATTCCAATTGACCTCATTCGCGAGCAAATGTTGTCATTGCCCCAAGAAAATTGTAACACGAAAACATGACCAATTAGCGTAATGTCCAATAAATCCCACGATTTTTTTTGGTATAATTTTAGACTATGTGTTTTGATTGGCCTGGGAAAAAAAAACTGCAAAACGCCACCGCAAATATAACGTTTTGAAACCAACAAGCAAAACACCTGGATCACAATGTCTTACGCCCCGAAAGCGCACCAGCAAAATGTGTCGTTTCCGATTCCCCAGACATGCTTTCAAACAACCCATTTTGTCATTGAGCAGTAGTTATTGCAACGAAGGAAGTTTGGATGGACACAAAACAATCTACAGTATCAAAAACAACCACCCAAAACCAGGTGTTTTATGCAAATGACTTTGGCCACTGATTGTGGATAGCGTGCGCGAAGCGGGTGAAACACTGTGATTTTGGGTGAGGCAACATGTTCAGTTTTTTCGGCGCAATGGTCAGGTTCCAAGCGTTAAATGGGTGAATTATTGTGTTCTCATGTTTTGGGTGGTTCCAAAGGACGATGGCCCAAGCAAACGCGCGAATATGGGCATTGATTTAAAAAAAACTATGTCACGGGCAGCTGCTGCTAACGTTTCTCCACTTCTTAGCAAACATCGGAAAACAAGGACAACAGCTACAGCTAAGGCAACCGGTGGAAATTTGCTGTGCAACCAACCAAGCAACACTTGGGGTGCTTCTATGGTGAAAGGAGGTGACCTGGCTGGGAATTTTCTCTGTTGCCATGCCTTATACGAACACAAAACTCCTGATAAACGCTTACGCAAGGAGGGCTGGAGTTGCTGTACTGCTCAAATGGTGTCACCTGCCAAAGGTAGAGGTTCACCTTCCTCTCAAACAAATTCCAAACAGTTTGAAAGGTGCTGGTCAGCGACTAAATGGGAATTTTCCGACATGCTGTTTTTGGTTGCAAATGCCCGAAGAACCTTTTACGGCTTTGTCATACCTAGTGGCAGTGGGTGGTTGAAGAGCTAAATCTGCTAGTTTTCCCAATTCTTCGCGCCTTTTGATACGTTCCTGCTTGGCAGCTGCTTAAACTATTCTACGTTTCCCCATTTTCGCTGCTGGGGTCTTCTGTTCGGCCTGTCGGCCGGATTTCAGGAAGATTCTACGTATGACAAGACCAGGAATATCCGAGAGGCAATTAGCAGAGACACTATTTTTTTACAAACCAACCCTTGTTTGTGGGGTGACGACCGGTTTTTTAATTTGCAAAAACATCTTGTGTAACCACAAGGCCCGCGGAGTATGCTGTCATTTGTGTCCATGTTTCTTGCATGACCAAACGTTTCTGTAAACTGAGGTTTCCAATTTTGGAATAGTTTTCAACTGGCAAGCTGCCTATACAAACGGGGTGAGAACACTGCACAAAACTCTATACCCCGCCTTTGGGTTGTGAGTGCATTTCCTCTCATCCACCCAAACTAGAGTGCCTTTCTACCTTTGGGAAAAAAACATCGTAGTTTCAACTCCGAGAGGACAGCGTCTATGTCCCATCGCATGTGGGCCTTGGATTCTTAAGGTAGTAAAGCAACAGTTTGTCACTCACTTTCAACGGTCAGTTGCGCTTTCACAACAAGACCATTTGTCTACGTGAAACTGCCAACATAGGATCGCGTTAACCTATGTCTGGTCTTTCGATTGCAAAATGCAAACACCAATCCAAAGCCCACTGCGACCGCTTCACCCCATTAGATCGTGTCAGCTCATGGCGGTGGCTCATTTCATTGCTGGGGGTTCCATATGTTCTTCTCCGCGCACATCCACCATGTTGGCCTCAAACAGTTGCTGCCACAACTCTTCGTCAGAAACTTCACGTTTTTCACTCACCATATATGGATTCTTCTCGTCTTCCCATGCCTCTGGGCTGTCTATTCCAGCTTCATCTTCAGGCTCCTGTTCATCTGATGATTGGTCGTTGCCGTCTGGATGATTTTCATCTCCATCCATCTCGCGAATCTCGTGCCAGTATCCAGGGTCTGACACCTGTAGTATCGAGTCTCTTCTGTTGCAATCGTTTCACCATTGCTGTCAATTTCGTGGCTCTCCATGTGTCGAACCATCTCTGCTGCAATGTCAAAGGCTTGGCCAGCCTGTTGACATTCTCTTATCACAACGTTCTGGGCAACCATGAATCTTGGAAAATATTCATCATGCTGTCAGACCAGTCATCGACCTGACTGAACATTGTCAGTCATGTTTGCCTTTTCTGCAAGGCTAAGTTCCCGCATACATAGCTTGAGCATTTCCTGTAGCGCTCCTTTCCTCTCTCTGTTGGTAAGCATTTTTGTTGCCTCTTGATACCCGCTTTTGCACTCTGTCACATAGCCAGTACAGTGCTCCTTCCAGTCTGAAATCAGCTGCTGAGATAGAGTAAGATATTTCATCCCGAACCTTCGTGGGTTTGCTGAATACCTACGGGGGGGACTGCAAGGATGAAAAGGAGTGCAGTTGATATCATATTGATTGGGCTCCATGTGCTGCACCACCAGCTCAAGGCGTTTGGTGATCCCTCATGAATCATCTGCAGCAGGTTGGGAAAATGGTTCCCTTCAGCCAAACTCATCACGCTGAAAATTGAAAGCGCACGGAAGGATTGCTTGGCCATTTGGTTGCTTTTACTGGTTTTGGCTTGGCCAATTTGTATACTCTTGCAAACTCTGTCTCTCCTACAGATTCTCCATTGCAAACAAAACCAAACGTGTGGAGAAGGGAAAGGTGTCTGTCCTTGGCTAGCGACTTGGTGTTGAGGTCTGCCATGTTGTAATGTTTTCACTTGCTTAATGCACAGATCACCAGAAGCTTGAAGCCAAAGAAGCTGCCCTTTGATATGTCGCCGTATGCCAGCACCAAGTTTCTTTAATAACATGTTCACTGCTGTATTTTCGGTTTGTAAGACAAGACAACTGGTCGTACTTCATCATCAGTCAGGAACGAGAGAATGTGATGGAGAAAAAAAGAATCACAAACAGCTGATGTAGCCGCATACCACTCGGCTTCGGTGCTACTCAAACTCAAACTGATGCAATTCTGGGCCCCGCTCGTTGACCAAATCACAATACCATTCAAAACATGCACTGCCGCTGATCTTGATCGGTTTTGACCAGTCTCAGCCTGAAAACGTTTCAATGAGATTGTTTGCGTTTCCGTTTCACTTCCACACATAGTTCCCTGAAAACAGCTGCCTTTGCTTGCTTTCCCCATTCTCAACGCAAAGCTCTTGCTGAACCTCATGTGCCCGACAAGTCTGCCAAAATCCACCCAAGCTTGCTTTTTTGGGTTTTTCAAGAAAGATGCCAGGCTTTTCGCTGCAAACTGCAAATCAAAACGTTCTTGACTCACATACATTGCAATTCCAGCCATTGACTTGAACTCTCCGGTCCACTCAAAGCTTCAGCAAAGGTTGTTGCATCGCAGCATCTAAGGAAGAGGAGGTAGAGGAACTGTTGCAAGGAGCTTTGCAAAGTTTCAGTGAATACCTTTCAATCATTGCATGGATATGCTTCTCCTCTGGATACACAGTGATCTCTGCATATTGGAGTTCCACCATGTGAAACCGCTTCCGAAACTCGAAGGTTCCACCCGAATTCTGTCCACCACTGGTGAGCTCAGCTTGAACTCTTCTTTCAATCCAAGAAGAAAAACATCTGTGATACACTTTTGATCACCAAGAAAAAACGTCATCACCATGCAAAACCATTGCAGACTTCAATTGAATCCTACAAACACAACGCTGCTCGGTGCATATCGTAGCGTTGAACTTCTTCTTCAGCACATTGGTCAAATGCTGATACCAGAGCATATCTGCTCCAAGTGTTTGATGAAAACGAAGGCATAAATTTGATGGGCGCATCGTTGTTTTTGCCGCCGGTCACATGGGTGCTTTTTGCGCTTAAGTAAACAAATTCGTTGGGGAACCTGGTTGCAAAGCAAGCTCATGTAAGTCTCTTGTCAAAGCAGCTCCAGATGCGCAGCACATTAGGCACAGCTGCAACCAGACTGTGATTCAGCGCAGTGTATGCGGCAGCATGCGCTTATTTGTTGCGACACAAAAAGCAAAGAAGGGAGCTGGGACAGGTTTAATTCTCATAAAGGACAACGACAAGCCTGATGCTGTGGGCTGTGGGCCACAAACGGGCGCACTTCTCAAGCTCAAGCTCCGTCTCTGTTTGCTTCTAGCGACAAGACCGCATGGTGGCTTGAAACTGCAGGCACGTCTCATCCAGGTTCAACACAAGCACACGCTTTTAAAGCCGTTGTTTTGCGATAAAGAAATCACCAAACCTGTTCAAAAAAAACATTAAATTATCGACCCAATTTTTGGGTCCGGAAAACAGCCCCAAAACCAGCGCCCTCAGAATGAAACTTTCAATTGCGGGGAACCATTTCTAGGGCCACTCAGCGGTGCCATTTTTGGGGACCATATTTGGCCCTGCGCGCCTTGTTTCTCGTAGCTTCCATGGCCTGTCTGACAGAAGCTGGCTGCAATTTTTTGCAGGGAAGTCGCCAAGGCCGATGGATCCCATAGACCTCAACCATGTCGGCAGAAACGGAAATGCGTCCTGACAAAGATATCATGTTTCCTCCGTCATTCACTCCCTTGAAGCTAAGCCAGCTGTGGAACGCGGCTCATGCTGAGCACGGAAACAAAAACATTCACCGATAGCTCACTAGCGCAAAAAAACATGCCCTGGCGTGCGTGATTCACCACCAATTACAATCTCATCAGCAAAAAGCTCTTGGGGTCTAGATCGGTCGGTTTTAAGTTACAACCCACTT